CTCCTGCCCTTCCACCCACCCAAGGCCTGTCTTCCTCTGGTAAGATTTCCAGCCCCACCGCCCGCCTCTCCTGCTCAGTGAGGAACTTGGAAGGGAGAGTACCTAAAACAGTGGCATCTCTAAATGGGGGGAGGGGTGTGCAGCTGCCCATGCCCCCTGATGCTATCAGAGGGAGTGACACTAAAATGACTCTGGGGACCTGTGGCAGCAGACAGGAGGGTACCACAAGGGAAGAGGCCGCTAGGCAGTGGTGTCCCTAGGATTGGTGCCACGCATTATTCAGTGCAGTCCCCTCCCTTCCCATTTCTCCCTTCACCCGTGTGGTAACTCCTTACCATTACCCCTCAACACCAACCAGTCAGTTTACAGACTGGCTAGCCTTGGCACCCACCTTTGGACTGAAAGGAGAGTGTGTGCTTTGGCCAATGGAAGAAAGGAGAAACTACAGGGAGCCAAGGAGATTGGCTGAGCGTGGTCCTAAGCCCTGCTTTTGGGTGAGGCCTGATGGCCACTCTTCCCACCTCCTGGAGGGAAGATTCACCTGACAACCAGCCCATGAAGGTGACACTGTGAATTACGGTGACACCAACTTTAGCGATGCTACTTCTGAGACAGGAACTTATGGGTGCCAGGAAGGGCTCCCTGCTGATCTCTGCCAGTGTCACCTCTTTTTCTGTCTGCCCACAGAAATCTCGGGGGTCATCACTTCCTACCGTCGTTGCCTGCCCCAGATCCAACTCTATGGGCCTACCAACGTGGCCCCGATTATCAACCGCGTGGCTGAGCCAGCCCAGCGGGAGCAGAGCACCGGCCAAGCCACGGTGGGTGAGGGAACAGAGCCCGCAACCAGGAACTGCTTCCTTAGCTTGTTCTCGGGTGGGCCAGGGCTAAGGCCTTGCTCACAGAGCCCACCATTTCGCCTTCTCTGCCTGACCTCAGAAGTACTCGGTACTGCTGGTGCTCACGGACGGCGTGGTGAGCGACATGGCCGAGACCCGCGCTGCCATCGTGCGTGCTTCCCACCTGCCCATGTCCATCATCATCGTGGGCGTGGGCAATGCGGATTTCTCCGACATGCGGCTGCTGGATGGAGACGATGGTCCTTTGCGTTGTCCCCGAGGGGTGCCCGCAGCCCGCGACATCGTCCAGTTCGTGCCCTTCCGGGACTTCAAGGATGTGAGTGCTCTTGTCCCCTCCCAGCCGAAGGGCTCCTGAGCTACTCACACCCTCAATTCTGACTTGACTCTCCCACTCGGTTGACTCCATCCAAGGACCTCGGAGCCCAGCTCATCATCCCCATTCCCCTGCCCCCTCCTTCGCCAACCCAAACCTCCCGAATTCTTGCTCCTAACCATCTCAATCTCTACCCCAGACCCCACCCTCCGCTCTAGCTAAGTGTGTCCTGGCGGAGGTGCCCCGGCAGGTGGTGGAGTACTATGCCAGCCAGGGCATCAGTCCTGGAGCTGCTAGGCCCAGCACGCCAGTCATGACTCCCAGCCCTAGCCCGTGACGCCACTCACCAAACCGACACTCCCTCAGCCTCTCAGTGAGTGAGGGGAGGATGAGGAGAGGAAGGGGAGAAGGAGGTGGGGGTGTCATATGGGCTATGCTTGGTTGGGTGTGGTTTTCATGAGTCTATTACGCCCTCCCAGGTGCCTGTCTAGACCCTTGTGACTCAAGTGACCAGTGCCTCTGCCTCTTGGACAAGCTGTGCTCCTCTGGGTCCTAGAAGTGAGTGATGGACCCTGCCCCCACCTCTCCAGGTTCCACCCCTCTCAGCCTTGTGACCCCTTGATGACTTCCTTCAGTGATCCTGACTTTCTGACCTTTAATAAAGGAGACCATTCCAAACACCTCAGCCTCTACCCATCATGCTTCAGAAGCCCATTGGACAGTCTGTAGTACCACTCCCACACCCACCCACGCCATATGCATAGATGAAAATGAGCACATCACCCTTTGAAGTCAGAGCCTGGGCTCCATGGGCCACCTGCTATCTATGCTGTCTCCCCCAACTATGTGCCAATGGAGCCAACTATGAGCCCCCATCCTCACTCTCCATTCCAACACCAGGAGTCCAGGCACCATGGGGGTTAATTACAGGAGATGCCAGTGGGTAATGAGGGGCTGTCAAGGGGGCAGCTGAGCCCCCCAAGGGCTGAACCCCAGCCCCCACACAGCTGTGTAGCAGGCTGAGAAAGGATGTCAGGAGGAGCACAGCAGGTCTGAATCGCTAGTAAACTGGGGACGTAGCATTCGAGATCTTTAAAAAACCTGGTTTTCCTGGCTGTGTGGATGAGGATGCTCATGCACTGTAAATCCTTGATTTTCTACATGTTGTTGTTGGTTCCAGCGCATAGTGATCCTGTAGAGAGTTTTCAAGAAACAGCTAGTAGGTTTAAACCACAAACCTTTCAGGTTAGCAGTCCAGTGCTTTTTCTACAGTGCCACACCAGGACTCTACCTGAGTGTGCCTTTAATGGCTCTGGGAGTTCAGTTGTGCACTGTTAATGATAACATCAACAGCAAACATTGATTAGCATGTATGTATCAGGCTTTGTGCCAAGTTCTTTAAATGCATTCACTCTTGTTGTTGTTGTAGTTGTTGTTGTTAAGTGCCATGGAGTTGGTTCTGACTCATAACAAGAGTTCTGAAGAGCAGCTGGTGAGCTTAAACTGCCAAACTTATAGTTCAAACCAACCTTGCAGTACAGCACCACACCGTATCAGCCTTTGTGCTAAGTCTTTTAAATGCATTCACTCTTATTAGGTGGGTACTATCATTTTCCCCGTTTTTAGATAAAGCAAGTAAGGCTTGATTTTAACACAAAGAACTGACAGAACCGGAACTTGAGTCAAAGCCTATCTGACTCCAGAGCCCACACTCTTAAGCACTACGGTATATAAAATCTGTTTGAGGTATACTTTCTATGACCCTCATCTTGAGATCCAGATGTTTGTATATGTGCCCTAGTTGTATGTTCACATCTGTGTGTCTATGGATGGGAATCACTGCTGTGTGCCATGCAGGTCCTTAGCCAGGTCAGGAAGGTATGAAAATGAAATAGTGAGTCCAGAGAGCAGGCAAGCGCATGGAAATAATTCACATTGAGGGAGGCAGAGCTTGGCTCCTGAAGGAACCCCTCTCCGCCCCAGAAACTATGAGTGTGGAAGGGGAATAGAGAGGCTAAAAGTGCTATGTGCCCTCAGACAAAGGATCCAGAGTCAGAGAGAACAGCCTGTAATAAATAGATGTGGTAGGGAAGGGAGAGATGAGAGAGAAACTCTGAGAAAGATGGCGAGAGGACTCCCCACTCAGGCTCCTGAGTGGAGGACAAATGAGCTGGAGGAGGGGGAGGAGAGAACAAGTACACGGATGGGAAGAGCAGAGACAGCTGGGGAGGATGTGGGTAGAGGGGACAAAAAGGAAGAGAAACATATGGGAGCCTCTTCACCCACACTCTCCCACTTATGTGTTACAGGACCAAGACAGTAGTTGGTGAGGTGCTTGCTCCCAGCTCAGTGCCTGCTCCAGCTTAGTGCTTCTGTTCTGCCTGAGCCCCACTCACCTTCGCTTTAGGCTTCCAGAGCTTGAGGGCTGGGTTACCATGGCAACTATGAGGCCTCTCAAATAGCCACAGGCAGGCCTGGCCAGGCTGCAGTTTCAGGACTCCACTTGGTGATTGTGGGAAGGGGGAGGCTCCATCTGGTCCAATCATCACTATTCCACCCCATTTTCATTGGCATTCCAGAACCGAGATAGAAATTCAGCACCAGGTAGAGACTTCCTACATCCCCTCCTCCTTCTCTCTCTTATACAGAGAGAGAGAGAGAGAGAGAAAATAGCAATGTAAAGCAGGAATAATGATTACTTCTTTAATTGCAAGAGCATTTAGCCAATAGCATTAGCGTTTAGCCTGAACTTAAAGGTTTATTCACAAAAGTTGTTTTCTCTCAGCTTCTTCACATCCTGAGGAAAGTCTCACCTCAGCCCTAGAAAGGATGAAGGTCACAGGGGCACCCTGTGCAGGTCTGGGGGTTGAGGCAGCCTGGAGCCAGCAGCATAGGGGCAGTGTGTGTGCTCTGGGAGCAACTCGACCAATGTCTGGGTCCTGGCAGGAAGCTGGAGCAGGATGGGACGTCCTTTTCATGAGACTTTTGTGGAGAAGGGGGAGGGAGGATTCTTAGAGAGGCCATTAAGCCACAAACACTAGAATCAGACAATGTCAGAACTGGAAAGATGTCAGAAGTCATCCAATCCAAATGAAGATTAGGTGAGGTAACGGATGCCCATGAGCAAGGCATCTGCTCCAGCTACAGAGGGATCCTATAGTAGAGCTCAGTCTAGCGCCCAGTCTCCAGACTCCTGCCCAGGACTCTCCCAGCCATACCAACCACCCTCACACCTCATGCCTCAGGCTCTGGGCCCTGGAGGCTGCTGGATTGGAAGAAAGCCTCTTAGATAAAATCTGAGTTACTCTTGGGAACTGAAATCCTGAAAATGCTACAGAGTAGTATTAAAATAGGAGGAGTTGCAAGCCTCAGAATTAAAATACAGCCTCATTGCTAATTACCACCCTAAAGTGCTATAGATTGAAAACCCTGAATTAAAAATATAAAGTGAGGACAGAGTTTCCCCATCCCCTCACAGCTCACACCATTCACTTTTTCACGCATCCACTCCTCCACCAGCTAACCATTCCACCCTCAGAAAACTGCTGAACCTGGTACTGGTCCCTGCAGATCTGTGTCTATTCATGTGGGTGGGGCAGGAGGTGAAGGATTTCAGTGTAATGGTTTACGTCAGGGGAGGTCATGGAACTTCTCTCCCAGAAAATGAACGCATCTAACCTCCAGGTATACCTTGAGGGTTCAGTAAATTTGGGGATATTTGTGTGATCATGCAATGGAGTGCCTGGTGTCAGAAAACGCTAGAACCAACCCTCCTGGGTGATGGGCCTCATCCACCCACCACCACCCTGTGGCCGGGATCCAGCGGCTTAGAGGAAGAAGTGGACGTGGTCCCCGGACCCCGTGTCGCTCGAAGTCAGTCGGTCACAGCGAGCTTTGTAGAAGTCGCGCTCCCGAACCAGGCGGGCCACGTCGGCCCGCAGGGCGTCCAGCTGGGCATGCAGGCGGGCACGCTCGGCCTCCAGCCCGCGCCGCTGCTGCAGCCGCTTGGAGCGACAGGCCTGTGCGTAGCCGCGGTTCTTCAGCGTGCGGCGCCTCTGCTTCAGCCGCAGAGCCTCGTCGCGTTCGCAGCCCCGTAGCTTCCGATTGAGCTCCCGCACAGACATCGACACCAACGATGCGTCTGAAAACCACTCCAGCAGCTGCAGAGAGCGAGTGCAGAGACCCGGTCACCGCCGGGTCCACCCGCTCTACACGCAGGTCTGGACTCCAGACTGCACTGCCTGGCCCTAGCCCTTGCTCTTTACAGCCTATTGTGCAGTCTGATCCAGCCGCAGGCCCCAACACGCCGCCAGGGCGAGCAATGGCCAATGTCACAGGACCTTTTAGGTCCACCCCTCGGTGTAGGCCCAGGCTCCAGCGGTCAGGAGTGCCAACAGTACACTTGAACCCAGCACCTCCCCTCGGCTGTCCACAGCTGTGATTGTAAGCGAGGAGGTATCCAGCGAACCCGCCAGACCGACTGACTCACAACCCTCCCCTGAAGGCCATAACCACCGTGTGACCCTGAGAGGATTTGGATTACATGCTACCTAATGCCCTCCACACCCCCATCTGTGTCTGTAATTAACAGGATGAATCCCAATCCCTCCTGAGAAGGTTGAAAGCTGAGGAAGAAGCAAGAACCAACCTTTCCACAGTCTTAACCCCATGCCATTCCACACAAAACTCTTTCCTGGTTTTAACACATGGTATATCTATTAAGCTGCCCATAATTGTCTGCTCCCCATTGTCTTTTCATTCTCAACCGCACTCTTCTAAACACATTTCCCTATTCCTTCTAATTCAGCCCACTAATTCCTCTCCATTTCTGGAACGGGGAGAAAAATAGAATGTACTTGTCTCTATCTAATTTCTTTCAAGCACTTCTGATGTGACACTGGACTGCGAACCACAAGGTCAGCAGTTCAAACCCACCAGCTGCTCCTCACAAACCTATCAGAGTTGCTATGAGTCGGAATCAACGTGGTAGCACTTAACAACAACAGCAACAATTTCATTCAAGGGCCCTTCTTGCCTTCTGCTGTCTTCTCTGTCTTTCCCTGCATCTCTTTCCCTACTCTATAGCCCTCTCTAAGGTCTTCCTTTCCCTTGGACTGTCCTCCTCCTCCTCCCTCAGCCTGCCTTCCCCTCAGACCACCTCACTCACCTGGTCACATTCGGCTGCTGTCTCCTCTGGGATCCCTGGGTAGTAGCCTTGGGCCCCCTCAGCAGGGACTGGACCCTGACCCTGCAGCAGTTCCACAGCCTCCTCAGGACTCAGCCCCAGTGTCTCCCCAGTCCCCAGATGCTGCTGCAGGGTGGCCAACAAGTACAGCTCCTCCAGGCCTGGCCGGGGGCCCTCGGTGGTCCCCACCACCCCTGGCTCACTGAAGGTGGGAGAAGGAGGCACTGAGCTGTAAGGTGTGGAGCCTAGTGAGGCCATGAAGAGTCCAGATTGCCTCTCAGGGGCCTCCCGCTTTACCTCAAACTTCATCAAGTCAAAGTCATTGACATACTCCATGGCCAGGGGGCTGGGGGGCAGTGCCATTCTAAGGCTGGGTTAGGAGCACCACACCTAGAAAAAAGAGGAGAGGTCTAGAGCACCTGCCAACTGGTCCCCTTCACTAAAACCTGCCTCCCCCAAGTGCCCTGGAGCCTGAGTTCGGGAAAGTCAGAGTAATAATACAGCCTTGTTCCCTATTAGAGTCACCTCCAGGCTCAGGGATGGGGCAGGGCGGGGTGGGGGGCAATGTTTGGGTGAGCGGGGCTCGTGTCAGGGGCAAAGCAGCCTAAAGGCCGAAGCAAGAAAGAGGACAGAACAGCCTCTTGTCTATGAAAAACAAGCGCAATGCAGCCTGCTGCCAACCCTACTGCTGAAACATACTGAGAAACTCAAGAGGTATCATTCGATTCCATGCAACCAAAATTTTTGCTTAATTAGTTGTGACAGTATTGTATATTTTAGGGCAGTGGGAAGGCATATTTGTTGTTAATTTCAAGATATCAAGGGTAATGTGCTATTTATTGTTCATCTCTATCTGTTACAACACCCAGGCCAGTGTTTACACGTAGAAGATCCACAGTACACATTTGTTTTATGAATTAACCAAACAATGAATACCTTTTATAGAAACAAGAGACTTTCCAATGAAGAAAGAATGTCCTAGAATCCATCTAGAAAGGTCACAATGAATGGTGACTATCTATCTCCAAGCCCAGCCTCTCCAAGTCGAACTTACCAAGACTGATTCTCCTCCTGTTCAGAACCTTCTGTGTGGAGCAGATCACGCCCCCGCTTTCTGACCCTAGCTTTCTCTTCTGTTCAATTGGAGCAATTAGGCTTTCCCAATGTGTGTTCTGTGGAACACTCATTCTGAGAAATGTCCAAAAAAAGGTCTGTGCTGAAATATTTGAGAAATACTGCCTCCTGTGCCCACTTCTTTTTCTCTCTTCATCTCACATACATTTGAACATGCTGTCAGGAGAGACATCATGCTGGAGAAGTATATCATGCTTGATAAAGTAGAGGCTCAGCAAAAAAGAGGAAGTCCCTCAGTGAGGCGGACTGACACAGTGGTTGCAACAATGGACTCAAGCACAGAAATCATTGTGAGGATAGCTCAGAACCAGCAGTGCTTTGTTCTGTCACATACAGGGTCACTATGAGTCAGAACCAACTCAACCTAACAACAATGTGCCCACTTTTTGCAGGTTCATAAGACATGGCAGCATATTTGTATGAGAAATCCTTCAGTTCAACTTTAACACAGTGTCCCAAATTTTTGTCACCAAGTTGCTTTCCTCTCTGTTATCAACCGTGGAGCAAGTGTTCAGAGCACACCTTAGGAACTCCAGCTAGATGACCTCAGAGAGCCTTCCCAGCCTGGAAACCCAGATCTAGTTTTAACAGCCTCATTCCCATCCCCAGAACGGGTAAGGCAGGGAGGAAATGTCCATCCCGAGAGCTTAGAGTTTGACTCCATCTTGGTGCCCCAGTCTAGGTAGCCCCATTTCCTACTTACAGCTTAGACCCCAGGTGCTACTCAGATAGGTGGGAAGAAGCACAAGACCTCTCTTCCTGCCCCAGGAAAGAATCATGTCCCCTTCCCCTGGGAGGGCAGAGACACAAATTTAAAGGACAAATTATTGGTAGGGATGGAGATAGCAAGACATTGAGAGAGAACAACTGAAGAGATATTCAAGTAGAAATGAATGTAAGAGAAGAGTTTCGTGAGGAGGATTGTTTATCTTTCTGAAGTGATAGCTGTGGGCATAGGCCAGTCAGGATGGGAGTAGAGCAGTTGAAGATTCCAGAGCAGAGAACAGACAGCAGGTGTCAAAAGAGGGGAATATGTTGAGAAATAATAGCTTCTCACTGTAATATTTTTGTGGAATAAAGGTATCCATATATTTTGTAGCAATAAAAAAGAGAGACAGAGGGTCTCTAGGTGAAAGACCTGGGGCCCAGGTGGACCTGGGGCCTGGGGACATACTCACTTCGGGGTTGGCAGTGATGACTTGGTCAGTGTCAGAGTCAGGCAAACACAGATTCCCCAGAGACTGAAGGCCCCATTGAGCACATTCTAGTGCCTCTGTGCTCAGAGCAAAGGATCTTGCTGTAGGCACAGAGCTCAAAGTGTTCTCTTAAAGAGCCAGCGCACTGAGGTCATCTGTGGTCCTTAGACCTCCAGCCAATAAGGTAAAGGGATCGTTGGCATATCCCATTGGTCTGGGGGTGTGTGTGCTGAGGTGGAGCGGATTCAGTAGAGACTAAAGGACAAGTATGCCTGTTCTTTAGGAAGGAGAGGGGGTATCCTTCCCAACAAAGCTCCTCAGTGATGGTCTGACTAACATGTTCTCAGTCCCCATTATGCAGAGTTTCTTTGGCTCCTGACCACACTGCCTTTCCATATGAACACAACTCTCAGTCCTCAGCTGTTCAAAGGCTGGGAATGGGAAAGAGAGCCAGAGAAGCTCCCAGCATCCCCATCCTCCATGACAATGTCTTTGGGGAGTACACGTTCTCCCCAATTCACTTTCACCTAACCTAGGGGATCTCTTATGTACCTGCTCCACTGTCACTCTGAGGAGCTTTATGCCCCTCATGTTGTTGTTAAGTGCTTTCTAGTAGGTTCCGACTCATAGTGACCCTGTATAGGGTTTCTCCAAAAGATAAACAACCCTCCCCACAGAGATCTCCAGGACGTGGTTGACCAATCCCCAATGTCTCCCACTCTTGCTGACCCAGTCCCAATACAGGCATCCTGTCTCAGGAGGAGAAGCAGGTAAAGAGAGTAGGGAGATCTGCTCCCTCCTCCCAGGCCACTGCAGGCCACTGCAATCTCATCACCAGCTATCAGCCCAGACACTTTTGTAACTGCCCTCATGTGCCCTCTCTTCCTCTCACCTTTTCCATGTGTGTGTCTCTGTCTCTTTCTCTTCCTCTCTCAGTCATCCTTGTTTCCAGATGGCTGGGGAGTGACCTACATATTCAGTCTAATCCCCTAACACCTCTCAGAGCTATCATCCCCAAGTAGGAGTTGGAACAGAGATACTTGGAATTAGCCAAGATGTTTAAACCTGTCTGAAGCTGTTTAAATAGGGTCTGTATTAGAATAGGACTCCAGGAGTTAAAATCTCTTTACCATTCTGGGAGGGCATCCAAACACTTTCGTGAGGTTAACTAGTCTTAATTCCAACCCCATAGATCAGTCCTGAAGATCATCAAAAAGCGGCCTTCAAAAGTTCATGGAAAAAATGGAATGAAAAGATCATGGACTTTTTCCATGAAATTTTTTAAGCCCCTTCATACACATTAACCTGGTCCCAGCCTAACCTTAGGTGTTGGGTAAAGAACTAGTAGATACAAAGTATGGTTCCCCAAGCAAACAACATTAGCATCATCTGGGACCTTGTTAAAAATGCAAATCCTCTGGCCTCACCTATTGATTCAGAAACTCTGGGAGTGGGACCCAAAGATCTGTATTTTCATAAGCCATCCAAGCAATTCTGATGCCCACTAAAGCATGAGAATCACTGATCTAAGAAATATCTAGAGTCAACCCAACTTTCCTTGGTGCTGCCTGCTCTCTAGTACATAAAAGAAGATCTGCTGCATCCAATGACATCACTCCCTCCTCACACCTGGGTCTGCATTTTGTAGCACAGAGATGGTCACATTTTCCAAGCAGAAAGACTTCTCTCTAGGAATGCCTGGGTCAATGCTATTTTCTCAGAAGAAAAAATAAGCCCAAGGACTGGGAGCAGAATAATGAAATGTGGATAGGGAATGTGGAAACAGGGAAGGCCACACACATGCCATGAAATGTCGTTCTAAGGTATACACTCAAAACAGAGACTCCATAATTTCTTTGGTTGAAGAAGGAAGAGGAAGTATCCAGTGCAGCTCCCTTTTCATGGCTGGCTGGGCTGGCCAGACACTTGTCCCTACTTAGCAGCTGCTGGGTCTTTGCTGATCCTCTTGTTTACTAGCAGGCTCAAGGTAGAGGTGGAAGGACTAAGCTGCTAACGGGCTAAAGGAGTCAGGCTAAACCAGCTGAAGTGAGTTGAGTTGCTGGATGCTCAGACCAGGTGCCACTAATAAGAGAAAGGAGTATAGGATGTAAAGGTGGGACCAGGACTGGGCCACAGGGAGGACCAAGGACACAAAGAGGCGAGGCTGCTGCAGCCAGCAGGCACCAGGGAGGTGGAGTCCAGCCAGAGTGGGAACTCGGAAGCTGGGAAATGGATACTGTAACTTACTCATTCAAGGACATCTTGGGACAGAGAAATGAGGATGAAAAAGATGAGTCCAGGTTTGATAGACTCTAGGAATGAGAAAACAGAGAGGCAGGGAACTAGTTAAGGAGGTAGTTGGTGCAGAACTGGGACAGAGGGCAGACCAAGTTAGGTGCTACACAGGCATTTGGATTTAAGATAGCAGAGGGGTCTAGGCAGATGGAAGGCATGGTCAAAGGGACACAGGAAACTAAAAGAAAGAAAGATGTTTTCTGGAGGGGACCAAGAAGAGAGTAAGAGAGAAAAGGAGAGGTGATGGGAGCAAAGAGAATAGAAGAACAAAAGTGGCAGAAAAAAGAAATAGAGGAAAGCAAGATTTGGCACAACAAACTGGAAACAAATACAGAGAAACAGACAGACTAATGGTCAGACCATAGAGGAAGAACAATGACCAACGGACATAGAAATAGAGAGATATGAACAGAGGGATGCTGGCCTTGGGGAAAGAGGGCCTAAAGGTTTAAGGTAGAAAACTGATAGGAAGGAGAGAAGATGGGACAGAATCATCATTCTAGGACGCCACTCCAACTCCTCAGTCCTGCACCCCCATTTTTGGAACTCTGTAAGACCAGTTCTCATTCCTAGTTCTAAATGTTGATATGTAGCTATTCAATAATAAATCCAAATCCTCAAACCTCTTCTTGGTCTACCTTATGCATTCATTTGACAAATGTTTATTAAATGCCTAAGGATACTTCAGTGAATAAGACTGATGTTGGTTCTGCCTTCGTGAAGCAGAGAAACATCAAA